ACTACAGAATCAATTGCTTCTGCAGTCAATGATGAGGAACATTTTAATTGAATTATAAGACAATATATACATTCTTCAAAACACTTTGACACTTGAGACACTGGACTTATCTTTATCAGAAAGGAACAGACAGGTGGAAGCTGAGTAAGTTCTCCTCATATTAGTGTGACAACAGATGACTTATTTCAAGCCTGCTTCATGGAAAATAGTGATACCTCAGAAGTTTTAAGAAGGAAAGTACTTGGCACATTAAAAGTAAATAGACTTCAGTAATGCTCAAGTAATCAAGAGTAAGATAGATATCCTTACATTTTTTTGTACTGCATGCTCAGGTATATTTACAGAATAAACATTTGATTAGATCACCAGCAACATATAACAGTACTTTATTTCACTGTTCATTAAGATTATAAAAAGTCAAACTGCGCAAAGGATTTGTGAATATACATATTGCCAAGGAAGTGATTTTTATCACTTTGTATTATTTATTTCTCTGACATTTCTTGAAGGCCTAGAAGTTTTATTGATGACTGTGAAACTAAATCTCCTGATAAAACAGCTAGTCAAACTTGGATGAAAGTCACATTCTCGAGGGCTACTCAACACTTCATCACTACTAAAGCCAACAATGGAAAGAATTTTGCGTCGATCCTCTAAGTGTGTGAAATTCACAGTTTATGACCTTAACTCTGCTTACTTACACTATGATGCTTACTGAACTCATGTCCTAGTTTGCTACATTTAAGTCCATGTTTATTCAGTAGCAAGAAAGTTAAACTACCTGCCTTGATTACACGAGACCCCCAGTGCCACTGCTTTGTTAGTTTTTTGATACTGCTACCTTTACTGAGTTCTGTGCCTAGGGAAAAATTTAAATGGTGCCATTCATCAGTAAATGTAGCACTACATCCCAAAATCTTATCTCTACTTGCACACCTGACATGTAGCAAAGTTGCTTTACTGTAGTTTAAAGGCCAGTGTGTAGATAACCTTAGGCAAAGAACCACAAGTTAATCACACAGTTGGACAACTGACATCATCCATAAATTGTTCTGATATAATGGCACCAGCATGCTAATTTATGTGAAGTGATGTCCATTTGCTTATCATGGATTGGAAACTGTTTCACATAAAACAAAATTCTAATGCATCATATGGAGTTATAGCCTATGCTAATTGCTTTTGGCATATTTCCCCTTGTAACCATTTAGCCAGCTCTTGGAGATGGTAAATGCATTTTTAAGAATGTTTCAAAACAAGGTATGTTCCTTAAAATGAAATACACTAACTGCACTGAGAAGAAAGGAAATTTATTTTAATGCAACCACACAACTAATCCAGATTCAAACAGAATAAAGTCCGTGTTGGTGCTTATTTAAATACAAATGGATGCTACAGACAAAAAATTATTACTAAAATCTAAATAATAACATTTAGTAAAATAAATATTTAAGAACAAGTTTCTTACTAGATTGATTAAGAATTTCCTAAGTCTTGTATAAAAAAGAGAATTCAGGACTAAATAACTGATTGACTAATTAACCCATTTCATCACTACACTGAGGCTGTACAAATGTTAAGAAAAATCCGAGTATGTCCTTATGTAGACTGAGTTTAGGGTTCAAATTTGTTCTTTATCCATCTGTCAAGGGATTCTTTGAATCACTTCTCAAACTAACAACTAGGGACTCTACTGTGGACACCAGGAGCCATCAAACCTATTGGTTCTGTAGCAGCGGGAAGTAATAGGAGTGCTGGAGATAAATGCACACACTCTTCAGCCAGTGTGAAAGCTGAAGCCGACAGACACCTTCAGTTTGTACGGAGACAGTGCCCTAAGTCTGTTAAGTCCAACAGTGCCGTAAGCAGTCTGTTAAGTGAGTGGAAACTCACACATAATACGACTATTATTATTTAATTATATTTTAGGTCAATTTCTGTTAAATCAATTTCTGTTAAACTTAATTATATCCCTCTATGGCTTCTATTAAGTTTACTTTCTCCTGGGGTTTTCACAGTAAAGACAAATGATAAAGGTCTGGCTACTAAATGAGGGCAGCTATTAAATAAGGACAGCATGTATTAAAGCTGGATGGTAAAGATGTGGCCTGGGTTAAGAAAACCCCTTAGTAATGCAAGTATCTTTAATTTAAAGAAAAACAAAACAGGGTGGAGGAGAGAGAAGGAAATAAACTTTGGTCAATAACTCTTGTAAGATACTCTTTAAGAAACTTAGCAGGATGTCCTAAGTTTCATGGAAACTTCCTCTGAAGCTTCTTTTAGAAATGAGTGAGTGGTAATTTGATACAGTTTCCTCCTTAGTGAAAGAGGAAAAAAATGAAGCACAAACACTGGTTCTGGAGTCCAAGAGATACCAGGACTTGTAATAACATTTTAGAGAGTTGTTGACTACTAAAAATTCTGTTAGTGTTATTCTAGAAGATATAATACAGTGTAGTTCAGTTTAGAATTACATCATAATTCTAGAAGGAATACAGTTTAAAGAAATTTTTTAAATTACAATTTTATTTTTTTGGGGGGGGGAGGTGGTGGTGAGGGGAGGGGCTGGGAGGGAGAAGTTTTTACCACTCTGGAGTTCTTAAAATCAGTCTCTGCTTTACTTTTGCTCTATTACTATTTATGAAGAAACTTGTTTCTTTACTAGCACTGACACTGCCCATATGCATATATTCTGATGAATATAGCTATAAGACAAATAAGAAAATATACATTATTTCACGTACCATGTTGTGTTGTTTTATGGTGTTGTAGAGATGTGAAACACTCCAAGGCAGTCTAATCTAAGTGCACAAGTATATCAGTGGCTCTGTAAATTTCCACTACACTGATGCTGAAATAGTACCCAACCATTTCATAAACTCACTTTCATAAACTCACATTTCATAAACTCAATTTCTGATAATTACTCGTGGTTTTTTACAATGCATGGATTCAATAATTTTTCTATGCAAAAATGTTTATGAACAACAAGGTTATACTTGTCCACAGTCGATGTGATGGCTGATGAAAATATGCAGAGAATCCCTCTTCCACCTGGCGCAATATTTCACGTGAGAAACACAGTGGGCCACCTTGGGGCCAAAGTAGTTGGCAGCAACTTAGCCCAGTGACAGGAAAAATCTGCTTGGCTGAGGGCCTACACCTAATCTTCACTAAACATCTGTTAGATATCATAAGAAGAATGTTGAAGATGATATACCTATTAGTTTTTGAATGTACCCCAGGAAAGGGATTACTGCAATGATTCTTGATCACACTTGGGAACTGATGCATTTTTAAAACTGAAACAGTAAGATCCATCTGAGTAAATTAGCTCAAAAATTATTTTCTAACTTTTTTTTTGACCCAAAAGATGCATTTTTTTTCACCCAAAAAGTCACGTACTTCTGTGAACTCCAAAAGACAGAATTCAAATTAACAAAACACCAATACATCAGTTGCCAGGTAAGAGTTTACAAAGAGCAACTTTGACAAATTTTGATATACCTGAGGTCATACTGTTCATCTTACCTGTTAAAGAGCACAAAAATATTTCTTGGTTAAAATACCTACTCAATGCTTACCTTTATGGATTTTAATGACCTGAAATAAACATTAAGGAATTTGATCAATATGTCAAAATACTGAAAGACAAATATTTTTGTAGTCCTCAAAAGTTAGGTGTACCCAGTAGAGATCTATTGTGGTTGTGGGGAAATAAAATACAAAGCTCCAATCATTCTATGTTCATAGAATAGCAGGAACTTGCTATATTGCTTTGTTCACACTCACCAAAGATCAATCTAGCTAACAAGTTATGAGCTCTGTTCCAGGTTTAGGCAGGGAATGGAGAAGAGTGATAGAATGATTATTAACAGAGAAGTAGGTTATGTCTCTGAAGTTCATGCAGTTATACTGATTTTAAACCAGAGAAATTATGGTTTCATCTGCTTTCCAGGATTTGGTATAGTCTTCATAGGACTCTAACTTGTCAAGGAAAGAACATATCTCACGGATTTTAGATCCAGAATGTACAGTTGAAGAAATAACAGAATTTTAAGTCTGATTTTGCTGAGTTGTGACCTAACTTTCTGTATAGAATACATTTAAATGAATAATAAGAGATCAGAGATAGGTGGTTATCAATATGCTTCACTATAGGTAACATTATAATGCACAAATAATAATGTTATGACAAAGAGGACATAGCATCACTATATTGTGGAAAAATAATATAAAATAATAATTTACAATGAGAAAGTAATGATCGTGGTCACCTGGTATTTTGTCTGTTTGCTTCCACTGTCATCTGAAGTAATGGTCACGTACATCAAATGTACCAGAGGGAAATAAGCACCTCTGTTTTAAAGAGGTTTCAACTTAAGTGCAGGGAAAGACAATGGATGTACAGGAGAAATAGAGTAAGAACATATAGCAACTACAATGCTAGCCAGAAATCTAACCATTGGTGATTGGTTCTACTCTGCGACTATGAAAAGAATCTGCTTCACTATATCCACACCAGTATATTCCACAGTTAATATTTATAGTATGGCTCATACATGTAACTTAAACCCAAATCTGCCCTTGCATTCATTGTCAATAATCAATATTCAAAACAAATTATAAAAGGAAATTTTTGTTTAGCTTGTGTATAGTGGGAAAAAATAATCTAGTTCAACAAACCATATGTAGGGCATAATAATCTATGAGATTTGAGCATAGATGAAGAGCCAAGTTCATTTTTATTAAACTGGTACAAACGCAGAGTATATCTAACTAATTCAAAGAAATTATTCTGAATTTGTAACAGTGTAAATGAGAACAGAATGTGGTGCTACACGAATAGGCGTAGGATAAAGAGAACGATGACTGATAGATACATATATTTGATAATGGAGGGGAACCTACACTCTAAGAAATAGTTTAATTAGCACCATAAAATTTTTAAAAATAAAAGAGGAAATGAATGCTTTACCACATGGAGCTTTTGTCTTTACCTGACAAACGCGTTATTCACAGAAACAGCTTGCAAGTATTTCTTCAGGGCATAATAATTATGGATGTATTTCCGAACATAATAGCCTCGCCATCTTTTCTGGATCTAGAGGAAATAAATATTTGCTTAGTATATTTCAAATCAAAAGTTTGTATGCATATCCAATATCTGTAGTTTATCCTAAAGAATATGGTTTCCTTAAAAGTGTTATCAAGTAGAAGCACCAGCATAAGTTTCAATGAAGAAAACTAAGGTAGGATGCAACATGTTGTAGTCAAATGGCAATAAGAATTTACTGCTAAATGTCAACGTTAAAAAAGTAGTATCAAGTTTTAAACCACTGTTTATATTGGGGTGTAACAATGAAAAGAAGTGCCTGCTACTACCAGTGACATTGCTCTATGTAAGAACAGTAAAAAAGCAGACAACAGAAGTGGTGTCTTTTCCCAGGTACAACAAGCATTCCCTACTGGTCACTACCTGTCCGACATCTTACACTACACTTTCACCTTTGTGTTCCAGTTATATTGTAGACTGAATAAAAGTCTTCCCAGTAATTCAGTGAATCAGGCTTTCTGCAAACCTAATTTACAAACTGCAGTTCTTTCATCTCCAGTGTAAAATGATTCATGTCTATTTGTTGCACATGAATTGTAATCTTCTCACAAAATACTACTCTCCTGCATAGAGGAGAAAGCCTAACCTGGAAAAGGAAACTTTTTCTCTGTAGCTAGTTGTAAAGTTGTATTACAAATAGAAATTAGGTAGCATCCTCCACCAGAAAGAATTTATTTTTTGGTGCATTTTGAAAAACATCAATTGAAAAAAAACTAGTAGGAGAAAAAAAGTTGAGCAGGGAGAAAACTTAGTCTACCCAAATTTTGCCAAGAATTGATTTGGTAAAAACATTTAAACCTTCTCTGATACTTAAAAATCCTAATCATGATGTTTCTAAAATTATTACCTGTTTACTGCTGTCGGTTTTGTGGGAAGGGAAAGTAAGCATTAAGAACAAACAAGCATTGGAATGGACTGTCCAGTGAGGTGGTGGAGTCACCATCCCTGAAGGTGTTCTAGAAGTGACTGGATATGTCACTTAGTGATGATTGGTCAAAGGTTGGATTCAGTGATCTTAAAGGCCTTTTCCAATCTAAATGATTCTGTAATTCTGTGATTCTGTAATTAGGTAAAAAGTTATCAGTACTGTCATTTGGTTAGCTATATTTATCCCTATGACAAGTATAGGAGGAAGACGTAACTATTCAGTTATGCTGAAGGTTGCTCTCGTTCCTCATTTTCTTTGCCATAAGAGGTCAGTGCATTCTAGATATACACATCTGAAAAACAGATTATTTATCTTTTAGATTAGTTTTATATTAATCATAGATTAATGATCTTTTCCTTCGTTATGTCTAGTTCCTCTATCTTCGTTATGTCTAGTTCCTCTATCTTTACATTCTTCTGTCCTTGAACTTATTTATTTCCCTGAAAAACATTCCTTTACTCCCTTTTTCTGCATTTTGTCTTCTTTTTCCTCAATATTTTTCTAAACTAATCTCCAAATTTCTATTTTCTAGTCTGCAGTACCTTCATTACTACTCCCACATCCTTCTCTTTGACCTTTATAGCTTTGAAATCTTAAAAGATATCACAGCTGAAAGGCAGAATCTACATTTAAAAAGCAAGAAGTTTCAGCTTTTACTGTCCAGAATCAAATCCAAGTGAGAAGCTACGCCCCTTCACTAAATGCATTGAAGAGAAGAATGTTGTAATTTTCTAAGAGCTATCCTACCTTGTGGGCCTCTAGCTACCAGACTTTTCAAGAATTTAAACTCCTCAGTGTATCTATAGGGAACATTCTTCTTTTTTTTTTTCCCTTTACATCAACCCTTCTCTTTCCAGAACCAAGGGATGACTTGGTAAGTGGAGTGAAATCCATATGTTTGTGGTATCAGGTTTTTTTTCTTACCCCATCACATTTTATGTGCGTAAAAAAAGGAGGGAAAGAGTGTCACGGGTTTTGTGTTTGATTCAGCAAGAAGGGAAGATTAAAAAAAAAAAAACTTGCCCATGGCCCCCACTATCAATAACCTTCAAAAGGTTATTCAAAGTCAAAAGACTTCAGAGTCTGCATCATCAAGTCTTGGGACTGCTCTCCAGTAACAGGCAATATTCTATCTACTCCTTCCAGTTCTGTTGCAATCCAATTCATACCACTGGGATATCTGACAAAAGTTACTGCAATTTCTCCATCTCCTAACTTTTCCTGAGCAGAAAACAATAACACACTGGAGCTGTCTATAAGAATAATAAGGCATGGCTGAATATTTTCATCCTTTGATATAATTTTTCTATCACAAAACACAAAACACTATTATTTGAAGTAAAAACTAGCGTTTGGCCTCAATCAATAAGACCTTGGGGTACAGTTATGATTATCTTTTTACATGAGATTTAAAAGAGAAAAAGTATCACAGGAAAGCTTTCCCTAAGTCTTTGAGTGATGTGTCATGAAGAAAACTAAACTATGTGCTGGAGTTATTAGGAATAGGAGGATATGAACTTCCAGTGCTAATATTTTCTTCTATTTCCCCTTTGTGCATCAGCATGCATTTTCCTCTCTTCCTTCCCAAATAAGACCCAATAGTAATTTAAAAAGCTGGTATTTTCTTTTACCTATGTATTGCATGTTTGAGATTTTTTTTTTAATAAAAAGGGTTTGGACCTGTGGATATTGTTATAATATTAGTAAATAACCATTATGGGAACAAGAAAGGCTAAGTACTAGACATGCTGCTTTGCACTAGGCAATAGTAAATTTCATACTCTGCAACTCCACTTTCTCATAGACAAGCTTATTGGGTTAAAAAGGAATAGAGAAAGAGCAAAGAATGAGTATGCCTTCAGAGATCTGGGATTAAGCAAAATCCTTTGCATGTGAATAAGGATCTTAGCTTTGTTTTCCTGTTTGGCTTCAAAATTTCTCAACAAGAGGAACTTGGCTCCCATATAGCCATGTGCTCATTAATGCAGGATTATGGTCCCTTTGAAACTCTTTCTGACAGTCTTCACCTCTCTGTTATAAATGTGGAACTGGATATTTCTGGGTTAAAGGATCAAAACTCAAACTGAAAGACAAAGGGCTCAAATTGTATAAAGCTATAATTACCTCCAGTGGGCTCAGTGTACCAATTAAATGCTGCATTCCACCTTTATTTACACCACTTTCTGTTCAGAATGAACTCACCAATTTCAACTGAATGAAGCATAAGTAAGAAAAACTGCATTATGTCTCAAATTATTTTATGTTAGTTTTCTTTCCCTAGTACAGTATGTCAGAGATCCCAAAACTGAAGATTAGTCTTTTTAGAAAAGACCATTTTACACACACCTTCTGATGATGCTCATGTTTTCAATGTGAAAGTTCTAAATGTTTCCTTTTATAAGGAAGTATAACATGATACAACTGAATTTCTTTTTAATTCCAAGGTGAATGCTTAAAAAATTCTTGAAAAAAAAAAAAGAGATAAGTGTGTATGCCCTTCAAAGTAATTAGCAAGTTTCAACAGTGATTGGTACAAAACAATTATTGTCATTGATCAGCACTGAACAGATAATTTTAAACAAAGTCATTGTGTGCTCAGCAGATTACAGCTTGTTAACGGGCAAGTTCTAAATGACCTCTTAAGCTAGTCAAATCAATGATGCATATTCCTCATTAAGTAACATCAAAATGTAAGTGGTCTTATAAATAATGTTTATTTTAAGCACTAAAACAAATGGCAAAACCTTGATATATCAAAAGCCATCTGCTCGTGGAAAAAAAATTTTTTTGCTACAAGATTATTTTTGTTGCTGAAAATTTACAGTAACCTTAAATCTTCTAAAGGAGAGAATCATATTTTGACCTAGTACTGAAACTGATTAAGACCAGATCTCTGATTTAATTTTAGAAGGTAAAAATGATAGGTCTAGTTACAAAAGACAGAGATGTAGACTGACATATATATTATATTTATATAACAACAAACTATATTAGTCATGAATCCAACTCCCAATGTGTGAATATGAGGCACTGTTGGCTTAGGAAAAGTAAAGTCTGGGCACGCACCAACTGTGCAGAAGCTCAACAGGCCTGATTCTCAGTTGTCCTGGACCTTGATTAGTTCTTCAGAAAACTGATGACAGAAAAAAAACCAAAACCATGCAGTGTTTCAGATTGGTAGCATTTTAAATCTGCACTGCAGATATGGCTACACAAGATTATTTAGATAGAGGAGAAACAGATTTTGACATTTGCGACTAAATTAAGATCTGTTCTATTGTTTTCTACTGATTTAAATTTCTATTAAAGAAAGGGACATGACTGAAAAAATGGTACTTTGAAGATTTATATCACCTAATGATTCAACATTATATTTCCATTACAAATGAATGGGAACACATTCAATTTCTTTTAAAAATGAAAGACCAAATGCAAAACTCCATTTGACTAGAATACATAATTACCTCTGAAATTTGGTCTTCAAATGTCTTCTAAAAGTACACAGGCAACTTTTAAGAGCTGGCTTACATCTTATGTTTTCTCATTGATTTCAGCTGCATGAGTAAATGGCATTTATCCACTGTGGAATACTTTCCAACTAGCTAACTAAGGAATAAACTAAAAGAATAACAAAAAAGTGCATTTGTGAGGAATTAGACTGCTGTTAAACACCTTCTGTTCTCTAACCTGCATCAAATGTAAGATTCAACTTTGTGCCTTTGAGAGAACCAGGACTAAGTAAAAAATCTGATTGGGAACACGTCTCTTGAGTCTGAGTTACTCTGGACCCAGAAAGGCCACAAAATTAAAATCCATTCTGAGAATCTTCCTACTTTACAGGAGTTTCCTTGAGTTAATCTCCATCCTCATCATATTCCTACATTTGGCAGAATTAAAAGGTAAGATGCCTTGTCTAAAAAGATATAGGCCTCTCAAGTAAAACAGTTTTATATCACAAAAGAAGTAAATAAGATAAAAATATTTCATCAAATTAATTATCTCACGTCCTTCCCATGTTTGTTTTACATATTTGTTTAGGTGCAGTTCCGAAGTTCAGTGAAAAAAATATTAATTTCTAGGTAAATATATTTTGCAGTTTTCCCCGTAACAAACTTCATTGGTTGCAGATTTACTAAAGTTCATGGACTGTTTATACTTTTCTTCATTTAGCAAAATTCACTCAAATATCATCAATGCAGTTCCACTGCACAGAGCAGCTCTTGAGATTCAATACATCAAATGTCATGTACTAACAAAAGAAAAAGCAGTTACATTAGCAAATCAGCATAGAAGCCCTACAGCTTGTCAGAATTGTAAATATATGTCTACATTTGTAAGAACATTGGCAGATAGAATGTTTGGGGGTTTTAGCAGTACCACATATTGTAAGGTACAATGAACATTTAAATGGGGCAAGACACATGTAGGTGCCTTAAATTCAGCTACAGTTTTCAACACAACCCAGACTACTGAGTGTAACTTTAATTTTTAACTATGTACTATTTCCCACTGTTGCCATCAGCATATCAATCAAGTGTATATTATTCTGGTTTGCTCATTTTATTAAAAGCAAATTCGGAGCACAATTGACTTTTCATTTGTTTAACAAGGGAAGAAATATTTACCCTGACAGCCATTTCATTGTAGAAATTCATCTTCATAATAAAATATGCTGTCTGTGAACCAAAGAAAAAAAAGATGGCATATATTTCAGTTACACAAAGACAGTCCTCCTATTTTTACATATAAAAGATAAGAATCTTTATACATAATACATAATAAGAGTTCTAGGCTTACAGAGAATAAAATCAAACTTTGTATTGAAGAGATAGGCTTCCTAATACATAATGCAGGCTTAACCAGAAAAATCTATGGTAGTCAAACTAGGAGCTAATGGAGATATATGATCATAAAATGCTCTCCGCTGAGTTTGATAATCAATGGTGCTCTACTGAGAGTAGAATAACAAAGCAGAAATATTCACAAGTGCTGGTGACACGTAGTATTGTATGATTTATTCACTGGGGTTCTTTTAGCCAAAACTCACAGAAACATAAAAGGAATTCATATTTCAAGACGTCTGGTTTAATGAAAAATTCAAAGAAATGCTGTCTTCAGTCGAAATCGTTCAAGGATACGGATGCAGTGATGGAGCAAAATTGTGCCTTCCAACCATCTGTACTAAATGTTATGTACTTAGCTGCCTCCCGAGTAATCGTTGGGAATTTTGTTTCATTTAATATTCATTTTAACATCATAAAATCATAAATACAATGATACCATGTTACAGCGAATCCCCTGATATAGAAAACATTTCCTCAAGTCCTGGTTTCCTTCCAATAAAGTAGAATTCCTCTCATAGTGAACGAATCCCCTATTATACTAAGCAATCACTTGGCAGCATAGGTTATTTTAATGGATACATCACTTTAAACTAAGCTTTCACATCTGTTCCGCCCTCTAATTACAAATGCAAAATGAACATAATTCACAATTGTATCATAAAAAGTAAAATATAAGTACTTTGAATGCAAGAGTATGTCCTTTATTTAGCACAACATGCAGCTTTTATGTGTTTCTCATGTTTTAGACACAAATCAAAGGCAAAAGTGCTTTCCCCTGATATAGTGTTTTTCTCCCCCATGGCAAACAGGAATTCACTATAAAAGGGTTTCACTGTAATTAGTGTTATTTGAATTGCCTGGTCTGATCCAAAGCAAATTGTCTGTGGAGAGCAGCAGGACTGGATTATTTATCAACAGTCTGGGCAATTAAGAAACAGTTGGCTGCAATATGTTATTTACAAATGAACACAATGATGCTACTTCATTTTAAATTCTCTTTCTTCATTACATTAACCAAGGCATAATTCCTGCAGTTTAATTAAGGTGCATTTTAAATGCTCACTTTAATATCATACCAATCTACTAATAATGGAAACACTACAAAAAAATATTTCTTATGTGAAAGAAAATTGCAGGATTGTTAAATTCCAAAAAAGTTTCACGTGTATGTGCAGATGTATACATACACACACACGTACATACATATATTTGAGGGAAAATCTGCCCAAAAGGTACAAATTGGAATAAACAGTGGATTGTCTCTCCCCTTCAGTCTCCATAAACGTTTACTGAGTGATACTAACAGTAGATAGCTAATAATGGAATGAAATAATGTCCGCCAGATTTAAGTATATTCCTAAACTGTTTGATAAAATTGATGAAATTTTGTTTTGCAGATCATCTTCTCTTTCTTTGCAAGGGAACATAAGAGTTGTCACACCATCAAGTAGATAAAGTACATTTCAATGGAAGTTCCTAAGCTTAAAAATGCTTATCAGAGTTCTGTCCATCATTGATTAAACTAAACAATCTTATATCTTTTTGTTTATTCTTCTTACAGTTGAAGGCTGTGAGCACTCAGGTCTGAAGGCATCCCATTTCACTGATGGACCTAAATTAGAGACCTAACATCATTAATGCTCTTGATAACACTGAAAGACAGTGGGATCACTGTCTCTGAGATTGGCAAAGTGTTAAGTATTAAAGAACTTTGTCTACTATTTACAGAGACAGTCAGTGGCAACTAGGGTCCTAATTTGCATACCTCACTAAGGTGTGAGAAATCCAGGCCTTTACCACCACTTAAGATGCTCACTCACAATAAAAAGGCAGTTACACAATTCTGCTTTTACTCAACTGTTGCTCTAAATCACAGGTCATCCAAATGCAGAATTGCTCACATAACTCTTACAACCTTATTCTTTCCCCAAAAGCCAAAGGCTATGTCACAATCTAGGTTCTTCTGCAAATAGATTTGCCCCATTTTCTAATCCTGATCAGAAAGTTTTGCCATTACAAGTGATGGAAAATGTGTTCATCACTATTCACAAAGGAACAGTCATAATTTAGTGCTTCAACCCAAGTCTACACTTACGTACTAAACAAAAGATTCTTTCCTGAACTGGGGCCTGCTTGTCCAGAAGACCCTTTCCTTATGTTTAAGTGGAATTTCCTGCATTTCAGCCTGTGTCCAATGGATTGCTTGTCATTTTTTTCACTGAGTGCCAATTTGAAGGTGACACTGCCAGGTTAACTCTCTGGGAAAAATTATCTTGCCATCTCATCCACATGTACCAACTTCACTTCTGAATCAGGAGGTCTTTGTATCGCTCTGATGTTACAGGTCTTCCTATCAGCTTACTTCAAGTGTAGGTTTGAAGCCTTTTGTTTATAAACTGTTGGACTATCTTCTCCTTTTGTATTTAAAAATATATTTGGGGACCACCTACAAATGTGATCTGATTCTCACTGATGTTTTCTTTTGCTTCAAACAGTTAATATGAAATGACAAATTCAAACGAGATCCAGAAATCTGACTGAGGTTAAGGCTGAGAGAAGAAAGCAACACATGGTCTAAATTGGGTTGTTGCTGTGATGGTTTGGGGTTTTTTTTGTAGAGCAAATAGGCATTTGACTAATTCCTATTGGACTGGAATAATTTAAAACTGGTTGCTGAGTTGAAGCTAAACCATTTAGGGTAGTGTCAAACTATTTCACATAAAATATTCACTTTTCTCAACGGCATCTTTCAAAGTAAGCTAAAAATACAGCCATCATGCATGCCAACTTCATATAACAATTAAATGTTACAATTCACCTTCCTTAAACAAGTACTTTTGACTTTGAGAAGTATTATAATAAAGAAACAGTGATGTACAGTTCGATTCATGTTCTGGTGTTTGCCTGGTTTTAAAATTCGTATTTTCATGCATGTCATGCAAAACTTAAGGATCCAACACAAACAATGTAACGAAGTTACTGAGAAAATTGTAGGAGAGCCGTTCTTAATTTTAGCTTGAGATTAATTGGGAAACAAAGCTTTATACCAAAGAACCTAACCTTAAGGCACATAACCTTTATCATATAAATGGCATCAATATGTGAGGGTCTTTTTACTTAATATATTTTAACAATCAAAAGAAGAGGCAGTAGAGGAGTAGCAAATGAAATACTAGTAGTGATGCACATATGGACAACCAATCTGATGAGCCTCAGCCTTTGTTATTTTCCGCATCAGTACCACTCACATATCACAATTTTGAATATAATCATTAAAATGATTTATTATCAAGCAATCATGGGTATTTTGTGCATATGCTTTGCCTTGTTTGCTGGCAGCAGATACCAATCCAACCATTATCAGCAGACAAATTTTAAAGTGACCAGTGTATTTAAGGAACTATCATCTCAAATGTATCACTGTGTTTCATAGTCAGGAGTCATTACAGCAGTTATTTGCAAGAGTTCATTGCAAACATTAACTGATCCTTTTAACTTGAAAATTATGTTAAACTGCTGAGATTTTGGGGTTTTTTTTACATATTCCAAATTCAGCCTTTAATTGAGTAAAGACAGTATAACAACAAATATAAGGTGTTAACTTGAACTTCATATTTAAGTCCACCCCAAATCACACAATATTGAATATAGCAGTCTAAAGGGAGTAAAAAGTGCCTCTGTATCTGCTACATGTATGGCTTTCAGGTTGGCTTCCAATCAGGGTGTCCAATTTAGTCTTCTCCAGTCAAAGAGATGGCAAGCACAAAATCACGTATTTGAAGAGAAAAGGTGTATTTTCTATGCTGATTGCTGCAAAATTTGTAAGCTTTCTGATGAGATTCTCTTTCTCTAGAGCCCTGGCTAGCACTGGATAAGTACTGGAATCCAGAAACTGTGTGAATTCATGGTCTGATTTAGAATGTGTGTACTAAGTGTGGACTTGCAGAATTTTTTGTCCTACATTATTCCACAGACTTCAGATTTGGCAAGAGCTTGTCAGTCATATCTATTTGAAGAACTAAATATGAACTAGGATTTACTGATTAAAGACTTTTTTATTTTTCTTTTCAGAAATACATTTCAAGAATGGAGAGCTGAGGGGGGTTTATGATGTTAGCCTTCATAGCTTCATTATTACAGGAAATCTGTACTAATTTGAAAGACTCTTAAATCTCAAAATTTAACTGTCAGAACCTTTTTTATGAAGAGAGGGGCAAAAGAAGACAGAATAAAGAGGTGAGGCAAAAGACCTCTGGTTTCATGGATGCATAGAACAATTGAGGTTGGCAGGGACCTCTGAAGCTCCAAACCATTACTCAA